TGCCCTGCCTACTGTACCCTCACCTTTCAGGGACACGATCATTACCAAGGGGGCGGATCGCGGACTCGTTGAGAGTCTAGGTGCATGGCTGGCGTGCTAATGTAGTTACAGGGGAGTAAAGGTGTCTTGGACTCTGCACCCCCAAACCCGTGAACCCCTGGACGTTCGAAACTCAACCCTCAAGCTCAAGCCTGTTTTGAACCGCATGAAAAGTATGCGTTCGAACAAGGCATGCTCAACCTCACCATGCGATGGGTGCGGATACCGCTTGCGAAGCAACGAGATTAAGAATCGGCATCTTGCAGTCCTTGTCGAAAAGCCTTAGACTCTACGGGTGTAGGATTAAAGGTCGAAGCAGAGGCTTAGGGCTTCAGGCAAGTATCTTGGAATTACTAGTTGCCTGTGCTGTGGCCTGTGATGATGACGATCTTGATGATGTTCATGGTTGCAAAAAACGAATCTCCAGCATTATTCGTTGATGTTTCGGTCATCTGAGAGCGACTACGACTAATGACTGCTCCCAGCCTGAACCCTAAGCCCGGTTAGTCCCAAAACACGAACCATACCAAACCTCAAAACGAGATTTATGAATGTATGTATGCATGTATGTATGGGTCTCCGCTTTGTATGTGCATCTGAGTCTATATATATATATATATATCACATATTTGTATGTTTTGTTTAAAACCATACATACATTACCTGTGTATATGTCTGTACCTATAACGCAGGATACTAGACATATTCTCCTCATCGCAAAGCTCCTAAACGTGACTTTCTGCTGCTGGTGCTGGTTGTTAACTGAGTTGATGTGTAAGGCGGACTAAGAAAGGACGCTACAAAGCCCAGGCTTTTTGGCTGTCAGCTCATTGGGCCACCCGCCCAAACCTGCCAAGACAGAGATCGAGGCTTTCCAGGTCAGTACTTAGGGCTGAGAGTCTATGGCCCCCATCGGCTCATCACCCAAGCAACATTCTTAATAACCGTTTCAGGGCTTCGAGTTCTCGGATTATTAGGTGCAGGGGTTTGGGGCTTGGGGACGAAAGTTCGGGGAGGTTTAGTGGTCTAGATTTTGGCTTCAGGATTTTAGCAGATTCTTGGAATTCAGACCTCGCTATTAGCTACAGAATTCGGGGGGCCCCACAAGAACACTGCTTCTGGGTACTCATGCATACCTCTGTCTAAAACGTATAGGCTTTCGGGCAAATGTCTACGGCTCGACGTATCTGCCTAGTTGTCAACACAAGGATTGAGGCGCGGGTTCTCCGGAAGCTTCTGACTGCAGATACAATTTGGGGCGAGCAATCGCAACATCCCCATTGAATAAGCCAAACCGTCACCGGTGACCTGCCTTCATCGTGGCGACTTCCTTGGTAAGTGTTTTGAGCGGGTCAATGTAGGAGGAACTTTCAACATCAAGACTCAGCTTGAAGATATGGCTCTGAATGCCTTGATTCAGAAGCCGTTGCTAGGAGGCATACATAATTGCTTGCCCTGCGGCACATGCATACATGCTATGCGTGTACATGTGAATATGTGTATACAAAAGTTGCATAAACGGATGAATGGATAGATGGATACATAAGTATGTAGACAGATAGCTAGATGGATAGGTAGATAGGTAGATCAGTACAAGGAGGTAAACAAATATAGACAAATACACAGATAGAGATCATCGGTCTATCCATCTGTCTATCTACCTATCGGTCTGACGAGCTAGCTACCTATCGATCGAACTATGTATTTGTCTGCTAGCTGGCGAACGATCTACCTATCGATGTACGAATGTGTGTGTGTGTGTGCGTGCGAACGCAAACAGAGAGCGGATTCGGTGCAGGCTTAAATGCATACTCCCAGACTAACATAGATTGCCGGGTGCGTTAGGGGAACGGCCAACACTGCAGCAACCAAAACCACGACGACGACAAACACAACAACCACCACCAACAACACCCAACAGCACCCGCCACACCAGCAGCCCTCAGCTTTTCTGCGCCCGCGACAAAAACTTGAACCACCGCAGCCAGAACCCACAAACAGATGCTAGACCAGCATCGGCACTAGTGACTTGTGCAGCAGCAGCAGCCGTCGTCGTGGTGGTGGCGGCCGTGGTAGTAGTAGTAGTAGTAGTAGTAGTAGTAGAAGGAGTAGGAGTAGGAGTAGTAGTAGTAGTAGTAGTCGTCGTCGTAGTAGTAGTAGTAGCAGCAGTAGTAATCGTAGTAGTAGTAGTAGTAGTAGTAGTAGTAGCAGTAGTAGGTAGTATGTCGCAAACACTGAATATTGAGTAGTATGTAGGAAGTGGTATGTACTAGTAGCAGCAGCAGCAGCAGTAGCAGCAGCAGTAGCACTAGCAGCAGTAGCAGCAGCAGTAGCACTAGCAGCCGTAGTAGCAGTAGTAGTACAGTAGTAGTAGTAGTAGTAGTAGTAGTAGTAGTAGTAGCAGGAGTAGTAGTAGTGGTAGTAGTAGTAGTAGTAGCAGTAGTAGTGGTAGCAGTAGCAG